TTTAATAAAACTTAACAGCCTCTGTGAAACTGGAAAGTAAGATTAAATTTCCTACTATGAAACAAAGCAGCACTTCCATATGGAACCCCACATCCTTGCTCAAAGAAGTATAGGCTGAACTACATTCCTAATAAAATTAGTTAGGAGCAAGCAAACTGCGTAACATCAATTCTTTCACACTTGCTTAATTAGATTATTCTCATTCACAGACCTGACCTGGCACCTCAAAGCACCACACATAATTGAAAATGCAATACAAGATTAACAAATGAGTACAAAACATAATAAAATGCTATCAAACCAATAATAAAAGCAGGTCCATATCAGCAACTAGATCAACAGGACATAATTTGAGGAATGATATGTTCAGAATAGGGTCAGGAATTTTTCTTTTCCCTTCTCCCAAGCTAGAATCACACAATATATCTCAGTACGTAAGACTATTTTGGTTTTTCATATGCAGCAAAGATATTGTTATTATCAAAATGATTTTCATTCCCATAAATAATGACATAGTTTTAAATTAATTCAGATAGTCAATTTTAAGATTGAATTTATAAATCGAATAGACATACATACCACACCTGCACATAGACCAATACAGGTTAAGAGCAACCCAATTTAATTCTTGTTATTCCTGTTTTCCTAATTATCATCTGCAATATAATGTTCTATTTCTTACTCTGAAGCCAGTCATTTCATTTTTTAAATTGTAACAAAGAACTGAGTTCCTAGAAAAGTAGTGGTATAATATATATTTTATAATAGTAGAACCAGCTAACTATATGGGAGTTTGAATCCAGACTATTAATTGCTTTTAAAACTCAACGATCCCAACTTAATTTGTACTGTAAAAGGTAATGGGTTAGAGCTAAACTAAACACAAAATAAAATTGGTCTACATAATGATGCAATGTTTAAATGAGATTCTTAGTCTTAAAATATTGGTTTAATATTAGAAATATTTTCACCATCACAAAAGACAACAAACTGTGGTGTTTTATTCAAGGTATCAGATGATTGCTGCAGAACACCAAAATTAAATANATATATATATATATATATACACACACACACACCAGATTGATAATATGAAACTTTATACAAATTGTAAGTAAGGACTATGGAGAGGATGTGAAGATCAAGTGGCCTTGGAGTCATGGATTGGTTGTGAATGTTTCCACCCTTAGTTCTTGATGGGGTTATACTTCCTCAGACAAACCAGTTGAAAACAAATAGTAGATGTGGTCAGGAAAGATTTTACAGATCCCTCATATGCAATAGTTGCACTCTTTCCTGGATTGACAGACTCTGAGGGTCTCTTGAATGGACTACTGAATGCCTTTTACATTGAGTTGCCCTTGAAGATAATTCATAGTTGGTCCAGAATGCAGTTGCGTAAGAAAATATGGGAACATATCAAAATGCCTATGTACTACCAGAATTCCCCAAGGTGCACTGGTTACCAATTGGCTGTAATTTTTTAACTCAAGGTATAGGCACTCATATATTTATAAAGCCCTTTGTGGCCAGAGGTCTGTTATTCGTATGACTGTTCTCTAATTTCTTATTTACTCTTATTCATTTATTAAATTACCATACCACCCATCTCACTAATACAGTGATTCCAGGTGGCTTACAATATAATAAAAAGTTTAACAGTGCTAAAAAAAACTCTAAAATTAGAATAAAAAGATTAAAAGTTAAGAACCAAGATGATGGGCAGTCTGGAAGTAATTGCCATTGTCCATACTATAACTCTGACAATGTGAGCATTCTTGGGATCACGGCAATCAATACTATCTAGCTGAGAACCAAAGCCTAGGTGCCTTCTCTGTTATCACTCTGCCATCTAGATAAAAAATTCACACACCCAGAGTCCAATGGGCTCCAATCTTCCATTCTTCAGAAAAGCATTGTTATTCTGCCTGAATGGTTACTGGAATTTTTTCTTTTCTATGCATTTCTCCAACATGCCCGTCGCTGTATTTGGTTCTTTTGTTTTATAATTTTTGTATGGTATAACCATTATTACGTGGATTTATAAACTGAATTGATGATGATAATGATGACTCAATTTGAATATCTCCAAATCAATCTAATATGGTTCAGATTCTTCATTACCTGATGCCACCATATTTTTTGGCGATCAGATTCCATAGAATCCATAAGGATAGAACTAATCAGAGTTCTGATTACACATCATTCAGCTGAAATCTTTTTGTGATCGCCTTTTGGAGAAACACAGCAACTTTGTTATCAGCAGTAACCGAGGAAAGTAGAAAGTTTTCCCATAGATTTCGTATGCCATTTTTTTAGTCCAAGTTAAGATGCAAATCCAATACTGCAAATTATTAAACACTAAAGCAATAGCCACGGGGAATATCACATTCACTTTCCTATTACAGCAAAAAAAAAAAACCATTGGTTCAGTATTAATTCTTAACACATTCCTCCAATTAATTGAAACATTCATCTGTATTACTTTTGTAACAGGAGCAGTATGGAACATTTCCTAACCAGCAGGCCATTAAAAATACTGATAAGAATGTACATATATAGCTCAATTAATCAGAACAATCAAAACCTGCCCTATACAATTTCCTGAATCTGCTAAGGTACCTTTGATTTCTTACAACTGTTCTTTCAGTTAAAAAATCTGAGCACCAGAATTATTAAAAAATTAAAAGCTGTAACTAGTTTTTTTTCTTTGAAGCAATAAAAATTTAAGACATTTCCAACACCAAGACAATTTAAAATTCAAATTCAAAATATGGATTCATTCTGTTAAGAAAGGATAGCAATACATTCCATTTACATCAACAATGTTCTTAGTACAATGCAGGGATTTACTGTTGCCAAATTATCCAATTTAGGGTTTCACATTACTCATAATTTGAGCAACTCAACATAACTCAAATATTATTTTCAAAATAATTACAGACACTGTTCAAAACAAAAGCACAGCTATTCAAGATTCTATTATTTTGACCCACATTTTATCTGAAAATAGAAATGCAAAAAAACGAGCAATAAAAAAGATAAAGGAATCAGTGCTCCAGTTCTGATTCACTTCTTCAGTGAAGCCAGTGCACTTACTCAATAGCAGTTTCTGTTGATATAACTAGACAAGACTGAACTCACTTGAACTGAAAGCTCAACGCCATATGAAGGCTGCCTAGCATCAAATCATACCACTGCACTGCTGAGCTCAGTATTACCAATGTTCTGCGAATGGCAACAGCAATGGAGGATTACACTTGGCACTTTTACCCCAAGATCCCAGGCTTTAAATATGGTGCCCTTTGAATACAAAGCAGGGACTTTACTAATGGGTAATGCTTTATTAATGTTTTCCTGACTAACTACCATTTCGTAACTTTCCTTCTGCTGCTTTAATAAGGAAGTATTTTGTTAGGCCTAACATATTTGGGCTGCAATGGTCAGAAAACTACTACACATGAGCAAAAAAATATGGAGAAAACTCTGATTCTTTGCTGCCATCTACTGACGGTCTGTTTTTTGCAACTTAGATATATGGTAGGTCTATAGTTTTTAAATAATCATCCTTTTCAGCAGCCAGGAGAGTCTTAACACTCCTCAGAAATCAAAATGTCTACATGCCCTAAAATATAACCTAATATTAAGGCCTTTGATTATCATTTAGTTCATACACACTTGAAGATTCTGATGATTGCAGGAGCCCAATTTCAGCTCTCACATTTCCCTTTAAGAAGGTACATAATTTGTTGTATCACTAAAGCTCTTAATCCAGTTCCAGCTCTTCCAAAGACTGCCACTATGTTGAAATAACTAACTGCATAATAAGAAATATAATTGTTATCTAATTAGAAATAATTAGGAATATGCAATTCATATAAAAAGTAATAAAATTTCTGTGGAGTAGTAATTGCAGCAAAATTCTTTTTATGAAATTGAATGGTATTTTACCTTTACAAAATTGCCCTTCTGATAAGATCCATCAGAGTGGGTGTATATATAATCAAAAAATCCATTAGGTCTTGTTTTTGAGGTATGTATTATTTTGCAGCCACTAACCTGTTCCCTCCCACCATCTGCTTGCCCACCTCCACAAGGATTTTCAGGGCTTCCCAGGGCAGACACACTTTTCGCCATAACAGAGAAATAACAGAGACTGGAAGCTTTGTCTGCTTTGCAAATGGGGTGCTTTGAAATGGAGGGATTAGCTCCATTTCAAAGTGCCACATTTGCATGCAGACGAAGCTTCATCTCCCCCTAAGCGAAAAGTGCATGGCAAAGTCAGGAGGAGGCAGAGGCACGGGGGAGAGGCAAGTAATTCCAAAGCACCACCCACTCTGTCCCACCATCTCTCAGCTTTCCCGCGGCTCAGGTGGAGCATCAGGATCACCTGCCTCCCCATACCTCTGCCTCCACGTGCTGCTGATGCCGCCGCATAATCCTCCCGTGAGCCAGCCAGCATGCAGCACATCTGGATTGCCTGCCTCCCCACTCCATTTCTCTGCCTTTGCTGCTGCGCAAGCTTCCTGCAAGCCTCCCATGAGCCAGGCAGCTGCGCAGCATATCCGGATCGCCTGCCTCCCCACCACCTCTGCCTCTGTGCTTGGACTTATCTGCGTTGCACCAAGGGGGTGGCAAATTGCAGCTGCTGCACCATCAACCCCCACACATGCGCTGCCTGTTGTGTTGGCCATGCCCATCCCCCAGCTTATTTTTGGGATAGGACTTATATTAGGTTCAACACCCCCCCAAAAAAGGCTAGGGTTTATTTTTGGGGTGTGTCTTATTTTTGGCGAAAACATGGTATGAGTGGGGAGATAATTGTAATAATTATACTCCATGTCAGTAGATGAATAGGAAATGAAATATTTCATCCAGGCCCAACCTTCCTTCTGGAGAGGAACTTCCCACAAACTACTGAAGGCCAAGGATAACATTTGCTGATGCCTGACAATGTAAGCAATACTGAAGGAAAGTGCTCCATTTTCGTGAGCAGTTACTACTTAAAGGAAAANTTGTAATGGCTTCTGTTTTTTCCTCTGGAGTCATCTACAACATAGAGTTATGCTTAGAAAAATGTTTGTTTTGAAAACATGATTTAAGCATTCATGTATACACACGGCAAAAAAGTGAAGATGAATCTAAGTGTGTTTAATTGTATGTTTTATGATTGATGAGATTGTCTGAGAATTTCTGAAGGATGTAAAAGTTACAATGTTACTGAAGCCAGCTGTTTTCTATTTAAAACTGACATGCACTTCTTTGATTTATGGCATATGTCCATACCCAACTCACTCACCTGCTTATCCATTTCAGGTAATGCTGCACTAGACACACGGTCCTTTCCTGATTGCAACAAACGGTTGAGATCTTGAACAGCATCTTTTGTTGAAAATTCAGTCTTTTTTCTATCTGTGATCAGGATTCCTCCCCTTTGAACCAACTTTACAAATAAAATAATTAGGAAGAATTCCATTTCAGGCTTATGGGTTCAAAACACTCTTAATTGTATTCAACATTCAGCACAGAATACGATAGCATCTTACAAACTTGCCAACTTTATTGAGGCACAGGCTTTTGTGAGCAGGAGCTCACTTCATCAGATACAAAGAATGGGTTCAGTATTATAAAACCTTAAAAGTAGACTTGTAAAGGAGGGAAGGGAGAAAAATAATGTGAGAAGAAAATGGATTTATAAAAGCAGAGTGTTAAAAAAAAGTGGAAGGGTAGCAAATGTAGTGACTTAAGAAGTCATTGTCCTTATTCAAGATTTCTATAATAGATTAGACTTTTCTAATGTACTTTAACTCTATTTTATTGACAAAATTTCACTTGTATCACCATTGCTGAGATCTGTGTGACTGGTGATAGATTGACTTGAAAGAATGAAATGTCTCATTTACAACTAATAATGTAAAAACCTCTTTTCTCAGTTTCTGCTATCACAGAAACTCATTAACTTCCCACTCGTTTTTTTCCTCCATCTTCTCCTTTTAACTCTTTAAAGTCCTTTTAAACCCTATAATAGCAAATCTAGGTAAGTTGCTGCTTACAAAAAGGATACCCTCCCCCAATAAAACTGCTTGTCCAGAAGGTGCTACCAGACTCTATTTTGCTGACAGATTGATACAGACTCCATCTATACTATAAAATTCAGCATTTTCTTAAATGAAGTTTTATTACTTTTATTTTAAGGATTTTTCACTGTCACCTATTCAGAGTGTCCTGGACAAAAATCTAGATGATGGGTAAGAGTCAACACCAATTTGATGACACATAATCAATCAAACACTGTCATATATAATCATGCAATTACCTAATGTGACTACCAAAGAACTATTAATCAGATGTAACTTTTAAAACTGAAGGGATAAAAAAGGAACTGTTCACATTTATTCAGACATAGTTCCACACATATAATAAATTATTTCAATATAATGCACACAAAGTTTGATGCAGATCAAACTTGCATGGTGAGACCTAATGAGAAGCTACATAGTTGCCCATCTATATATTATTTCAAGCTGAATAAGATTGTATAGCAGTATAACTGAAGATCTAAATGTAATTATGAGGCTACACTACATGAATAAAGAGTAGTTAGATATTATTTCAGTGAATTGATGTCTCCATTAATAAATTATATGTCTGACACATAATTTACTATATATACCCTAGCATATATGGTACTATATTTATCGGAAGAGCATCAAATTGGAAAGGCTGATGCACAGACTGCAGAAAATAGTAAATCATAATAGAAGCCCATTTTCAAAGTATGCTGAAAGTTACTTTCACACCTAACTGACCCACAAAGGGAAAGAAGAACTTCTAAGGTATAAAGAGAGATACAAACAGCATTAGTAAGGACTAGAGGTCTTGATCACTCAATAACTTTCATGAGTGGCAATGAAACATTATATCATTTTCACACCAATAAAAAGCCATGGCAATGCACCGCTTAACTACAGGTAGTCCTCACTTAGTAACTGTTCAAAATTCAAATGGTACTGAGCAAACGAACATACAATCTGTACTCAAAAGGTATGGCGGTTGCAAAGCTCCTATAATTATGGAATGAAATTTCAAGAAGTTAGCAGTCCGCCCACTATTACAACTGAAGATAGAAGCACTAAAGCTGCCTCCAGCCACCTATCTCTCTCCCCATCTCAACTACTCACCTGGCCCACCAGTAAGGGAAAACTATTGTGGCTCTGGAGGCCCATCACACCTGGGAGGCCTCAACCAGTTACTGGGCCCAGCAGAATGCATAAATTGCTCCACTTATCTTTATTGTTTTTGAAGCTGCTGACAGATGGATCTGTATGTCACCCAGCCTATGAGAGGCACAGCCCTCCTACATAGACCTCCTTGCACCATTCTGCAAACAGGCACCATTCTCATGGAAGGCTCCTTTTCCAAATGACACAATTTGAAGATTGAGCCTTCTGAAAGATAGGGAGAATGGCCCAGGAGGCTCTTTCCCGCCTTCATTCCTTCTAGCAATCATGTTTTATAGTTTTATAACCTTTCTAGTCTAGAAGCCTTCCTAGCGATTGTGAAAATGACACCCACTTGCAGAATGATACAAGCCAGCCTCTGTAGGCATGGCTGTCAGTTGCTGCAGACAAATACAAAGGCAAGTGGAGCATTCCCATGTGCTGCTGTGCCCTGTAACCAGCTGAGGCCTCCTGGGTGTGGAGGGGAAGGGAACAGGCCTGGGCCTCCAAGCCTTTGAGCAGGATTCTGCAGTCAGTGGCCCCGGCAGCTGTTCAAGGGCTCCCTTGCCTGGTGGGCTGAGGAACAGGCTGAGGGCTTGAGGGGCCATGGCAGATTTCTACATGGATGTGATCTCTTGATCAGCCAGGCCTCCTGGTCCATGGCAGATTTCTCACACCAGTGAGCCCTGTAGTTTGCTCAGAGCTTCCCCCATGCTTTCCTTAATTATATATGCAATCATTTTATGACCACAACTGGGAGAGCTGGGGTTACAGTTGTTCAATGAAGCAGTCATATGATATCTCAACAAACACTGACCAAAGATTTCCGACCTAATTATGGTCCCAAATTGAGGACTGACCTATACAATAATTGGGATAGGCAATTCTATCCCTAATCAAAAAATCATGTGGCTGCAGTGGATTTATGTCATTTCTACCACAGTCATTAAGCAAAACACCTGTGGTTATTAAACAAGGCAGTGCTGGTTTCTCCATTGATTCTATGAGGGTGTGAAGTTAAGAACTGCTATCTGCTCTCCTCAAAAGTGCCTGTAGTCATGCAAACAAACTTTCTACCCCTCCTTCCCTCAGGCTTTCATCCATTCCCTAGAAATGTATTCACGGGGCATTCAAGCCGGTGGTCCTGCTGCCTGGTTAACTGAGCCACACCCTGGTATTTTCAAGAACATGCTGACGTCCGGAGGCAGCTTCGCCTCATCCAGGCTTTTGAGCTTACAAAAACAAATGCTATGACAGAGTGGAGAAGGGGGCAGTGTAGCAGGAAAGGTAATAAGCAAAAGTCTCTACAGGAAAGCATAGGTGGATTTCTAAGATTGATAGCTATTACAAGCAGACAATGGGACTATGACTCAACCGCCAGGACCACAAACCACAATGAGTAGCATATCCTAGTGAAAGTCCTGCCTGGAGCTTGAAGCTTCGTCTGGAACTCAGCAGCAACTTGGAAAAAGAGCAATCACACTGAAATGCCACAACTAGTGTAAAAATGTTTGGAAAAGGAAACGGTTGTATACTTCTTTAAGGACTTTGAGACTTTTGTTTGAATGGTGTCTTAACAGACAGAATATAAAGGACTGACTGACTATTAAAAACAAAGTTATGTGGTAACATTACACTGCAAATCCCGGGTGGAGTTCACCCAGAGCAATGGCCTGTTGTTGGGGAAAGTATGTATTGTAATAAAACATTGTGTACAAGTTTACTACAGTGTGTTGTGACCAGTCTTTGGAGATCAAACCACCACCAAACTCTGCTGTGATATGCAAACATGGCAAACATGTGACCATGAGACATTGCAATAGTTGTAAATGCACACCAGTTGTAAAGGGCCTGAATCTCAATCACATTATTGCAGGGGATGCTGCATAGTCATTAAGTAGAAGGACAGGTCATAAATTTGAACAGTTGCTACACAGGGCAATTGCTAAATAAGGCCTACTTGTTCAAGCTATCATGCTTGGGGTCAAATATTTTTCCTAGAGGATTTTTCTTCCAAAGAAAAAGGATCAAATTCAAGAAGTGTCTATATATTTAATATTCCCACTGGAAAAGGATGCTAAGCCATGATAAGATACCGCAGTAAATATAAACCTAATCTTAATGAAGAGGATGTGTTTATCCTCCTAACTGAATCTTCACAAAATGACTCTGGAGGAACAAAAGCCCAGAAATACCATGCCTACTTAAGATGATTTGCAGTTCCAGGGTCACTTCTTTAAATTAATATATTATCAACAGTTGTACAATTTGGAAATAGTCTTAAGAGTCAGTATTAATTTAAATATTTGCCTTTTCAGTTAACTGTTATTACAGACAACCAATGCCTTGATTCTATTGTTCAGCTTTTATATCTTCATTGAACCAGATTTCAATTCTTCTTTGATATCTGAAAATGTGCTTATGTTGGGGTTTTGGGTGGGTTTTGTGACTAGGATTCATTTTGTTTTTTGACGCCTGGTGTTGAAATACTCCTGTCCATTTAGAAGGCCTTCAAAGTGTTTTTCCCCTAGCCTTAGGCAACTAAATAGCATTCCCAATAAGCAGAAGAGTAGCCAATGACTTGGTTATACTGTGCTATACTAAAGATTCTTTTTTGACTTCACATGTTGTGTAAACTCTGAAAGGTGCACTTTATTCCCTAAAGCATAGGCAACTAAGCCATAGCTTAACATTATAAGTGATTATAGTCACCAATTGAAGCTTTAATATACCCATTAGTTAACCTAATTAGTATGCAGATGTAAACCTACACAAAATAATTATTGATGTTTATTAAGGGAGCACCAAGAACTCCACAACTGAATGAGCTGCTCCATTTTATGCCCATTTTAAGTTCATTACCTAGATGGTTTTTCAGTTTTAACTTCATGTAAACAATGTCTGTGGTTTCAGAATTTCCATGGCTTACCTGCTTCAGTTTCTCCATATCTCCAGCAGTATCCCCACCTGGCAGCAAACATTCCTTTGGCCCCATTTGTATCAACAGTGCTTCAAGATTGGAAAACTGATCATTATCTGCAAATTCAGATACTTCTAATTTTCTTGCCAGTGAATCCACATATCCGACTCCAACAACTTTCTGTCCATCAACTGAGGACAGCTTAATGGCTACAACACCAGCTGAAGAGGACATATCATGGTTACCAAAAAGAACATCCTCAAATTGAACAAGGTTGCCTGGAGAACCCTATTTGAGGAAAGAATAACACAGGAATATTAATTTACATACAAATACAGCAATAAAACTAACAAAAGATCAGAGTGGATAAAAATCAATGATTTTTTTAAATAAAAAAAATCAGGTTTTTTTATTTAAATCAGATTTCTTATTTTTATCAAATTTATTTT